CCTGGTGGCCTGAGATGGAGACATTTCCTGGGACCCACCCCCCTTTTTTTTGTACTGGGGATCGAACTATGGTCTTTGCACTTTCGAGGCAGGTGGAGGCACCACTGAGCTAAATCCCTGGCCCCCCTGGGACCCAAATCTTTAAGGCTAAAACGATGACGTTTTCCCTGGGGAAACCAGGGCAGCTGGCCACACTACTCGTAGGGTTTGGGGGCCAGGCAGTGGGGAGAGAGGTTGATGGTGGGAATGGAGAGATAGAGGGGACTCAGAGCAGGTCTGGAGCGGCCCATTCTGGCCAGATGAGCTTCGAGATGCTGTCGGACATCGTGGACATGAGCAGGCAACGGATGCGCACCCGAAACCCAAGGGAGAGGCCAGATTCAGGCAGAAATTCACAAGCCAGCGATAACCAGGGGCATTTAAAACAATGGGGAAAATCTGCCTCGGAAGGGTATGGAATCAGAGGACAGAGAGGGGCAGAGGTTGGAGCTTGGATATTCCCAGGCTGGGGGTAAGCAGAGGAGAAGCAGTTCGCCAGGGATTAAGGAGGAGGAGCCAGGGGTGTGGGAGGTCAGCAGGTGACCGGACTGTGGTGGCGGGGAGGGTCAGAGACTTTCATGGAGGAGGGAGTCATCCACTGTGCCAAATACTGCTATGGGAATTAGAGACCAAAAAGTCTACCTGAAATCAGTGTGATCCCAGCACAGCTGAGGCAGGAGGATTGAAAATTCAAACAGCCTGGGCAGCTTAGCAACTCCGGAGGCTCTGTCTCAAAAACTAAAAAGGGCTACGATGGTGCAAAGGCCCTGGGTACAACGCTTAGTACTGCAAATGGGGGTGGGGAAGGACTGGGCATAGAGCCAGTGTGAAGGCCCTGGGTTCAGTGTCTAGTAACACGCACACAGAGGCAGATGGACAGACAGACAGAGAGACACACACACACACACACAGGGTCTATTTAAAAGACAACGACAGGAAGGCCAGTCCCTACACAGTGCTGGGTGGTACTGAGCCCTCTTCCTGGAGAGTTTTGGAGAGAACTACAGAGTGGAGAGAGAACAGAGACAGGCCCTTCTGGCCAAGGAAGCCACTGGCGTGGAGCTCAGTTGAGGAACTGGGCTTTTCCGGCTGGTGAGTGAGGGGTGGAGGTTGAAGGACAGGGAGGGCACGGCAGAGCCAGGGGACACAGCAGAGATGGGCCCTGAGCCGAGATTGGGCAGTGCTGGATTGAGCAGCCTGAAACTGCTGATCTTTGTCGGAAGAGCTTTACTCATTAAGGAGTCGAGGGGACAGGAGCCAGAGTGTGAGCAACTGGTTGCAAAGAACAGGACACCCCACGTGCATGGATCACTCCTTTAAGAAGCTTAACATGGGAGGAAGACTGGGTGGCCTGGCACCTGGGGGTGAGACTTGGTTTGGCTGTTTTTGCTGTTTTTTTTTTTATGTGGAAATCTTGAATTTGGTGATAGGTTTGAGGAAAAGAACTAAGGAGGGAGGGCTCGAGGGAGTGAACTGAGGGCGTGGCGTTTCTGAGGAGCTGGTTGGGGACAGGCACTTGTAGGGATGGGAGCACACCCCAGAGCTCAGATGTGGGCAGGAGGGCAGGGAGGATGGGGTGAGACCACAGCAGGGGGCACAGGGAGTGGAGGGAAAGTGCTAGGGGCTAAGGCTGTTCTTTCTGATTATTTCCTCTTGGGATGATCGTGATTCTGCGGCTAAGAGGGACTGGAGACAGCAAGAAGTAGGCGGGAGGCTGGCCGGCCTGGATTTAGGGGCGCTCATTCTGTCTGAGTCCTCAATGACTTGGCCTGGTATTTTTCTGGGCAGGGGAACAGGAAAGTGGGCAGAGGAGTCCACAGTGTGGGTACAGGTGAGGACAGGATCCTGGCCGGTGAGGGAGGGAGTAAGTGCTAGAACTCGCGCTTGAGGTGAACGGTGCATACGGAACAAGGCTTGGATTGCTGGATGAGGCAGAAACTCCAGGGTCTAATGGTACTGTAGCAGGACAAGAAGCTGTAATAGTGAGGGTGCTAGGAGTCCCAAACTGTGACCAGAAACGGGACATTAGACTTCATGTTTTCCAAGTGGGAGCAAATCCAAGTGGTGAGAAAATCCAAAGTACTTAAGGCTTGGCTTTGGGCGTAACCACTTTGTTGGAGGCAAATGTTCCTGAGGTGTACAGAGGGTGCAACAGTGGGCAGGCAGTTCATTCACGTTGGAGCTGAAGCTGCCCAGGCTAAGAGGGGAGGAGATGGGAAGGGAGGAGAGGAGGGGAGGGGAGAAGAGAGGAGAAAGCTCAGTCCCAAGCCAAGGTCTCCCACGAGGGCGGAGGACTGGGCAGCAGGTCGCTGGTGGCGGAGACAAACGGGGAGGAAGCCGAAAGCAGAAACAGTTTTTACACAGTGAGGGAGACACAATGGCGCCTTATAAGTTTATTGAACTAAACTGAACCAAAGCACTGTGTTAGTTCCAGGAAGTGCCAAAGTCGGCACCAGCTGCCACCTTCTAGAAAAACCCCAGGACAGACATGGAAATCAGTACACAGAGAGCATTACCTACCTCAGCCATGGAGTCTGGAGTCCCGGAGGGGAAGTGGCAGCAGGGTGGCCACTAGGCCCTTGCTCCGGGACCCCCAGCCCCACACCCCAACAGTGACAATCCCCGCACCCCCTGGGGAGCTGCCAGCCCCCGCTCCGGCTCCAGGACAGTCCTGGCAGGAAGACCCGGCCAGCCATCTCTGGCTGGCGTCGTTCCCAGGAGCAGCCAGGCTGAGGCTTGGAGAGCCGAGCTGAAGGAAGCACATTTCAGGGCGCTTCTCTCCGGAGAGCAAGGGCTCATTAGCCAAAACCATCACCTTCCCAGGCCCATCCTCAGACCAACTTAAAAACAACCCGGGCCGCCTCCCCGCCCTGACACACAGGAGCGCAAGTCGCTTCCTGCTCAGACAGAACCCACCCTAACCTCAGCCCTTCTGGAGCATGAGCAGGGGCTGTGCTGCTTCTCAGAGGCGCGGACAGCGCACAAGCCGACACCTGGACTGCGGGTCTCACGAATCCAGTCGCGCATGGTGTCTGTATCTTACTGGTGCCCGGTAACGTGCTCACAGGCGGGCTCTCTCCTCCTCCGCCAGCCGCACTCCTCACAGCCGACTCCACTCTGGTCAGCGGCAGCTCTCTCCTTCCCGGTGCCCAGCCCATGCTCCCTGGGACCCTTCCGAGCCTTCTCTGCTCAGCCAACCTTGTGAGCTTTGTCTTCGAAGATACCCAGAGTCTGACCATTTCTCCCCACCTCCGCCCAACACCCCAAACCAAGCCATCGTCCTCATGTGTGGTTTGGATCATCGAGTAGGCTCCTTCTGGAATTTGCTTTTTTCCTATTCCAAATCGAAATTGGCATGAGCCAGATATGGTAGCACACGCCTGTAACCCCAACACTCTTGGGAGGCTGAGACAGGGAGGACTGCAAGTTTGAGCCTAGCCCGGGCAAATTAAGGAGACTTTGTCTCAGAAATAAAATGAAATGAAATAAGTAAACGGCTGAGGATGTAGCGTGGTGTGAAGGCCCTGGGTTCAGTCCCTGGCACCACATCCACACATGCTTATGTCACACCACTCCTATGTTCCTCATTCATTTGGAGTAAAATCCCAAGTCCTTACAGAGGCCCGGCAAGAGCAGGCTTCCTACACTCTCCATCTTTATCTCCTATTCTCTCCCTTGCTTGCCCTCCTGCAGCCACACTGGCTTCCTCGCTGGCTGTCAAACACCAAGCATGCTCCTGCCTCCGGCCCTTTGCACGTACTGTTCCCTCCCCCAGAACCTGCTTTCCCGACATCGACACGGTGTGCACTCTCCCTTCCTTCAAACCTGTGTTCATTTGGTACCGGGGAGCGAACTTGGGTCCTTGCGTTTGCAAGGCAGGTGGTGGAACCACTGAGCTAAATCCCCCAAACCCGTGTTCAAATGGCATCCACACTGAGGCCTTCCCTGACCACTCAGTACAAAATACATACAGCATAAGACAGTGGCACTGCTGCTCTCCTTGCAGTCCCTTTTTCCCAAAGACTTCATGAGAGCAGGGACTTTGTCTTGTGCTGTCCTGGTGCTCCTGTACTTAAGGACCGCGCCTGAACGCACCAGGACATGGTGAATATCTGTGGAACAAATGTAATTAATTCAGCTGACTGTAGGCAAAACTCAGAATTCCATAATCCTCTGGGTGCCAGCACTAGAACCTCAGTTTTTATATAAAAGCTTCCTCTTTCAACTCTTTTTCAGAAGCACAGCTTTAACTCAGCAATGAGTCAGCCTGGGCCTGCGCATTTCCACAGCCATATCTCTAAAGCCAGCAGAGGTGGCTGCTGTCTTCCTTTCCTTTGCTTCCTGCTTTCTGTAAGAAAATCAGCAGGGGCTGGTGACCTTGCCTGCAGGTGAGCGTGGCTGTTAAACAGCAGCACTCAATAAAATCACTGATGTGGTTATTCTTTTATAGAGCAGAGAAATATGTTCCAGGCTTCTTGAGATGGTGAATCTCTTGGCCGACTGTTTAAGTGATGGTGCAAAGTTCCCCAGAGTGAGCCTGGTCCCAACTCTACTGCAGCATTGTGACATAGATAAGAAACCTATGCTTGTGTGGAAAGTGAAACCAAAAGCATAGGTCTTATCTCAGACTGTCAGAAACCTGCCTTGCCATTTCCCGCCTTAAACCATCTCCCGCCTTTACGACCACCTGCTTCACTCTGGGTGCTCCCCTTGGGCTCTCCAGTGTCCTCCACGAGAGAGATGTGGGGTGTTGACAAGGTGGTCACTCGGGTCCTGTCTTGATCCAAAATCATGGTTTTCTTGAAGGAGAAGGGAACCCATTCACGAGTCACTAGAAATATAGATGATTCTCTCTTTGCCTTTCCAGGTACATAAAAGAAACAGGTGTGTGTTGTGCGTGTGTGACCTTTCTATTGATCAGGACTGTTTCAATTGTTAGGGGCACAAACTTAACTCAAACTGACAAAAGCAAATAAAGGTGTTTATTTACCGGCAACCACACCTGGAAACTGCAGAGCTGAGCCTCTGTAGGCCAGCGAGGCCTCAGGGTGATGGGGTACAAGGAGGGCTCAGCCTCCCTTCACCTTCTGGTTGTATTTCTTCTGTGTTGTTTTCACTTTCAGTCCAGTTCTCCTCAGGTGAGAATCCTAGCAGCACCAAAAAATCAAAGAGAACAGTAGACAGGCTGGGGTATAGCTAACTGATAGGGCTCTATCCCCAGTAGGAAAAAAACTTTCTTACCTAATTATGTTTTCAAAGGCCAAATTAGGTAGCATCTGTAAGTGCTAGGGATTGGCCCAGATAGTCACTTTTTGGCCTAACCACAGAAACCAAACAAAAAACATGCAAACAAACAAACAAGATACAGGGCCAGGGATTTAGCCCAGTGGTGTCACCACCTGCCTCACAAGAGCAAGGTCCCAAGTTCGATCCCTGGTACCAAAAAACAAATAAACAAATAAAACAAACAAAATAATATTGAAGGGACAAATCTGAGACTCCAAATATGAGAGAACCAGAATTACTAAATATTTATTATTATTGTTGTTTTGAGACAGGGCCTTGCTTTATAATTCAGTCTGGCTTTGAATTCCCAATGTAGCCCAGGCTGGCCTGGAACGCATGGTGAACCCCTGCCTCAGCTTCCCCAGTGCTGGGATTATAGGTGTGCACCACCACGCCTGGCAGAATTTCTTACTATTATTAATAATCATTTATCCACAAGTTTTATTGCCTTTTAAAGAGGTAAAATAAAATTTGCTCCAGGGCAAAAACAAATAATTCAATTTCAGGCTCCATTTCCAAACATAGGGTTTTCATTTTGACATATCAACCCTCCTTCCTGATTCAGGCAATTGTAGAACCAAGAGGTGTTTTTATTGTTTTTCTAAAATTCTTTCTCTGCATATCTGTAGTGCTTTGCTAAAATGTCACTGTTACTGATATCACTGTTAATCATGACTGATATACAAAAGTGAGGATGTAAAAAGTCACTAGTGATAATACACCATAATTAGAAAAAAGATTTTCAAACTCAATTTCTTATTCCAAATGAATTTTTTAAAATGCAAAATATCAACCTGTGGCCCTTTCCTGTCAAGATGAGTGCTCCTAGCCACCCAGTGTAGACAGAGTGACAAGACTGCACCCCCAGGAACCCCTATCCCGGAGGAGATGCAGGGCCACACACGCTTCCAGATATGTATCTTTCTGTCTGGTTTCCACCCCAGCCCCCACCCATACTGGTTGCTCAGGTTGAGCTGGGAGAGCACCGGTTGCTGGTATTTTCCCTGGAGGCCTCTTGGCAGCAGCTGTGGAGGTTTTGATCTTGCATCGCACAGGGCTGGGCAGGTGGCCCTGCTTTATCAGCCAAAAGGCTCTTGTAGCTGCTTCACAGGCTGGGGGCTGGAGGGACAAGGAGTCTGGCCTCTGACCCTCTGAACTCTCCCAATTCAGGAACTCAGGGGCACCCGGAACTTCAGCTGTACTCTTGAGTTGTGGCTCAATTTACCATCAAATGCCGGTTTCTCTACCAGGAGTTTGTGGGAGCTCATCAGGCCAGGAAGGATGCAGGTGGGCATTCTGGGTTTCAGCTTCTCTTCTGCTTGTGGAGAATGGAGTCAGCTTACACCTGGCAGCCGGGAATCAGCCTGTAGGCCTCGGCACAGCTAATTTCTAAGGGTGGAGGCAGAAAGATGCAATGGATCGCACCAGCTTGAGCCACTCATGGGTAGACCCTTGTCGGCCACCATCTTGCTCAGAGACCTTGACCAGCCCGCCCCCTACTCCACCCCTCAGTTTCCATATTTAATGACAGGCTCGGCCTGGATACCCTGTGAGGGTCTTCCAGGGTCACGCTCTATCGGCTATGGAGACATTACACTCTGCAGGTTAAGCATCAGGAATCTAGGAAACCTTCCTGGCTGCTTCTTTCTCCAGAAAGGTTTTTTCCCCACCACTGCTGCCGCTGACGCTCTGTTCAGCCTCTGAACAAGGCCTGAAACTGCAGGAGTGGGGAAGGCATTAAAAGCGGTTCCCGCTTCGGACCCAGCAGGCAGTCATCCAGCATTAACTGGACCCAGGCAGGTGTGGAGCTGTAGGGATGCGAGAGGTGCAGTCCTGCCTGGAGGATCACACAGCCCAGGGAGGTGGACAGAGGAACACATGAATCGCTGTTTGTGAAGATGGGCTTATAAATCCGGGGCAGAGGCAAGAGGAGCTTCCTGGCGGAGGTGGCACAGGGCGGGCCCCCCTAGGTGTCAAGGGGGGCAAATCCCCAAGAATGCACACAGAAAGAGCTCTCACTCAACGGGCGCTCAGCAGCTGCCCGGCAACACGTCGCTTCCTTTAAAGACCGGCCTCTCCTCCTCAGTCTAATTATTCCTTCGAGCTTGGCACACAAGTTGGAACAGTGAGCACCTCTCTGGAGCCCGGGACCAGGTCCTGAGTAGGCGGGGAAAGCTGGAGGGACCCCAGCTTCTTTGATTGAGACTCGGAGATAGCAGAACTGTGGGCTCCAGCCAATACCGTTTTTTTTTAGCGCGCGCTGGCAAGGCAGAGCGCGTTCCTGCCCCTTCCCCTGGCCTTTCCATTTCTGGAGCGTCAGGGGAACAGGATGCAGAGACGTAGTGCTGGTCTCCGAGCCTCTCCAGCGCTTCCCCGGCCCCGGACAGTCAGGGCGGGCGTCCTGGAGGAGGCGCGGGGGAGGAGAGGCAGGGCTGGCCCGACCCCCCAGCGTCCTGACCTTCGTGCAGACCGGCCGTGCCCTCGGCCGTGAGTG